TGTTTTATCGAAATTTTGATATTGTTTGTGTATATTTTTTTGGAAGGCAACACAATAAGATTTGTGACTTTATATGCCTGTATGCATACTTTATTGATTTGTTAAATATGATCAGATCTAGAGCTTAACTTGTGTTAGGTTACACGTATTCATGTAAGACGTTTCACTTCGAAAAAATGATATGTAACTTGTTCTGATTCAAATACCATTTTGTATGTTCTATAGTTTTGTTTTATTGAAAGAAAATTCTAACATATTTTTGAAGAATACACACTCATACAATCAAATATACAACAGAACAGCCACTGAATCCTTAACTAATACTTGATTATGCGTGCATTATATCTTGATAAGTCGGTTAAATGAACTCAGGATATGATTTCGTAGCTGTCTGTAATAATAACCCCAAACTAACCATACATAGCAACAGTAACACAAAAGTAATGGCTTGAAAAAGGTGAAGGACGCTTTACTCTGATGTTAAGGTTGGGGTATAGTAGTATATATAGTATATCTATAGACAAATGAAAGTATTTATTGAATCGTGTATGACACTGAGGTAAGAACAAACCAGATTCCAGTGGAGGAGGAAATTAGGAAGAAGCGGTGAAAGTGGATAGGACACACACTACGAAAAGCACCTAACTGCGTCACAAGACAAGCACTCACATGGAACCGTCAAGGCAAAAGGAAAAGAGGAAGGCCAAGGAACACAGTACGCCGAGAAATAGAGAAAGATATGAGAGGAATGAATACACATTGGATAGAACTGGAGAGGGAAGCCCAGGACAGAGTTGGTTGGAGAACACTGGTGGGCGGCCTATGCTCCATTGGGCGTAACAGGCGTAGGTAAGTAAGTATGACACTGAGCTCCTGGAAGGTTCGGAAACCGTACTACATAAAATGGTAATGTGAATTTTTTTTTCTGGTTAGCGTTTTTTTGGCAAGTGAGATTTCAACGGAATGGGGTCGCCAACCCCATGTCCAACCCTCCTCCTTTATCCGGGCTTGGGACCGGCAGTAGCCCCTAAGGTCCTACTGGCGGAGGTGTTGAGGAATCCAGAAGATTAGGATTTGAGAGAACACAAAGCATAAATGCACCGGCGCCATTGCGAACGATTTTGAGCCATGTCATTCAAGGTCTCTAACCATCCATTATTATCATCTCGCCGACCCCAACCAGGAAGCTGACATCTACCAACGTCACTCAGTCTACTTGTCAGTGACTTCATGGATTTCTGTCATGTTTTTTTAATCTGGCCACCCCTAGCTTCCTTCCAACCTACTCCTACACTACAAAACAAAGCTCGTCGAGGCAGTCGGTGATCAGGCCTACGCAGCACATGTCCCAACCACCTGAACTGATGAAGTCTCACTTCTTCATCTATTTGTAGTAATGCGACACATCTTTATCTCAGATTCAACATAATAGTAACAAATCTAGTTGTTTTTATTATTCAGTTAGTTAATCAAGACGCTTTTGATACATACACTGTTGATGTTTATTTGTAGACTGGTATTTTTGAAAATATCTGTTCATACTACTGATTAAGATAAATGAATGAATAATTGGCTATTGTTATAACAATTAAACAATAAATACTGTCACGTATTTGATTAAACTTTTAATCTATACAGATGTATGAATTTATTGAAACAGACAGCTTTCTCGACCTAGTACATAAATTGAACATTGAATCCACACGTTCACGATATCAAGTTAACAAATACCATATATAAGGATGAAGAAGTTTAAAAATAGTTTTTACTGTGATTGGTAAGCGAACTCACTGACATTTATAAAACTATTGTAACTTTAAAAACAGATTTCAACCACAGTCTTACAAGCATAAGTAAGATGTTGGTGAAGAACAAATTGGTACTGAATACGAATTCACATTCCAGAACACGCTCTTCTCTTGAGGTATGTTATATGTGCGAGAGAAGAGTTGAAGATAGTTGTGAAAATGTATATGTAACCTTCACAAATCCAGTCCATCATGAAAAGTAAAGGTGATTATGACAAAGCTAGACTTTTTGGAATCTAGGTATCTCAAGCAGACGTGATGTCGTCATATTCGAAAAAACATATCTAAATCAAATGTCATGTACCATATTTCGATTGTCTGTGACAATGTGATGGTATGAAAGTGATCATAGTAATAGTGATTAAGTCCATTTTCGTTTAAGAGGAGAGATTTGACCTCCCTGTGTAGTTGGAATTGACATTTCGAAATGACTATACAACTTGTCTTGCTTTATCGTGAAAACCGTTTTAACCGAAATCTGTGGTGATTGTTTATGACGTAAAGTAACTTACCAAACTAGTATATCAGACGAAAATATCTAAGAAGCGTAGATTACAACCGAAATCGCTACTAAATATTTAGAAATAGTTATGCTTTGTCACGTCGATAAATGATAAGCTGTTAGACCTTCCGTGATCTCTGTCTAACACAGAAATATCTAAGAAGCGTAGATTACAAACGAAATCGCGTAGGCCAGTATATGGCTACTAAATATTTAGAAATAGTCATGCTTTGTCACGTTGATAATTGATAAGCTGTTAGACGTTCCGTGATCTCTGTCTAACACAGAAGCCGTTTGGCTTAATGAGAATAATGTGTCCAGAACTCAGTCATATATCTTTGGTCCCAGGAGACAAAAAACATGTCAACAATAAGGTATTTTTAATCCTTTCAAAAGAACTTATTAGGGTGAATTTGAAAAAACACCTGAGAACCATGGATATATCAGTTCACACTACAATCATAAACTTAACAGAATTAAAATTGAGTCAGAGAACAGAAAACCATATCAATGGTCTACTCATCATTAGACGTCAGAGTTTTATTAAAAACCTAACTATCATAAGGCTTTTCTGAAATAATTGTATTTGTCACGCTGGTTGATGGGGAAAGCAAACCAACAAAGTCTGTCAGGTGGTTTTGAGAATAAAGTTACATTATTGCATACCACAGGCAAGATTCGTCATAGGAATGGACTAAGCATGTAGTGACACCAGTTTTACTAAGAAGACGAGATTGGTT